GTGATGGTGCTTTCCCTCAAATGCAGTGGCCTCGCAGAGCAGTGCAGTGGGGTTTGCAATGCCAGGCTGCTGGGAAAAGGGACACGCCAGCTTTCCCGTTGTCACAGCCGTGGGTCCCTGCCCCTGCCCTCCTGGTGTTAGTGGAGAGAGCTGGACCAGCCCTGGAAGGAGCCGAAACACTTTTGCTTTCATTATTTTGGTTTATTTCCGTTCTTTTTTGTTTTGTTTGGAAAGTTGTCCCAATCCACTCTGCAGCCAACAGCAGCTGGAGTCTGTGAAAGAGCATCAGCCATGCTGGAACCACACATTTCCATCCCCAAGATCTGCTGCACTGGTCTAACTGGGTTGTGAGGCCGTACACCCACCCGGGACTGGGTGCAGTCCTGCATCTACAGACCACCCTGGTGGCACCAGCTCCTTGCAAAGGAGGTCTGGGTCCATAATGGCTTAAACCCCCTCAGCACATCCTCAGGGCTTGTCTGCCAGGGTGGAAGATTTTCTTCTTCTGGTTTTCTGAGTGCTTTTGTTAAACTGGATGTGAGAGGGCTCAGCCAGCACAGGGATGATGGGCAGGGAGGACATGAGAGGGTGTGGGAGGGCAGTAACCCCCACAAAACTGTCCCGTTCCTCTAAATCCTATGGATCACTTTGCAGTGACACTTATAGATGAGGAGCATTTTCTTTAACAAATATGAATCTAATGGATTAGCTCTGATCTAATTATGCATTCTGCATTAAGCTGATGCTCCCACTGTCTGTGGCTGCTAGCATAATTAAACTTAATGTACTTTTAATGATGTCTTCTTAACTCATGCATTCATATATGATTAGAATCAAACAGGACGAGCTGTCACAAGTCCAGGAGAGCTCTTTCGACAGCTCCTGATGGGACTCATGTTGAAATATTAATAATGAAGATTCCAAGGTTAACAACGTTGGTTTTGAAATGAGGAAAGCTTGTCACACAGTTTGAGCTAATCTGAGGCAACAAAACGGCTCCCCTTTCAAGTTCAGCCTCTTCCCGTCTTGCACATGTGCTCCTGGGAGAAGGGGAATTTAAGTTTCACTTGGCAAAGATGTTGTTAAGCGACCTGCACTCTGGGCAGCAGCTCCCAAAGAAGCTGGGACTATTCCTCTGTGGGCACCTTTCGGTGGATTGCTGGGTGCTCTGCCCTGGCACACTCAGTCTTCTCTTGCCCTTTCCTGCTGCTTTTCTGAAAATTGGGAGCAGTTAGTTTTAGGATCTGGCAATCAGAAGGCAAACTCTACTTTTGTCTGTGCTCCTATTTGCTCAAGTGAAGCTGTGTTCCCCCTCCCAGCCTCTGTCAGCTTTGTCTGTAACCTCAGCACGGGGCATAGGCTCCCTTGAGCTGTGCAACTCCTTGTGCGATGGGGCCTGATAAAACTTTGGCATTGCTGCCCTGGCTCCAGCGTCCTACATGAAGCAGGTAACAATACTGCATTGAAATGTTGGGTTTTTTCCCTCCTTCTGTTTTTATGGATTTTTTTTTTCTCTTTTATCAGCCCATGGCCTGGCAGACAGGTTGTCTTTTCAGTTCCTAAGAGCAAGTTGCGAAATTGTCTGAAATCCTTCCAATGGGAAATCATTGATTTATTACACTGTAATACTGATGCGAACAACACCATGTACCTTTCATCTAAAGAGTCAGGACTTAGAGAACACGACATGCCATTAATTTTGATGCCAGCTCAAACAGAGGAGGAATTACTGCCAAAGGGATCCAGAGAGCATGTTAAACCAGCCCTGCAGAGTAATGAACATACTTTGTGGCTGTTACATTATACCATATTGATCCCTAGGAACAAAAAGGTACCCTGACAGCTAATTTGGGCCATCAAAAGCATCTCTTAATATCTGTGTATGCATATGTGTATGTGTGTACTACATAATTAGTGAATGAGACAGGGATGTGCAAACATTGGCTAATTACACTTCTTAATCTCTTCTGGGAGTGAGGATAACCATGTTTCCCTGCTCTAGAGACAGCTCTCCCCTTGCACATGTTCAGCAGGTGAGTTCACTTGGGTACCAGCTCGGTGCAGATGATGCCCAGCACCCTCCCTCTCTCCATCCCCAAGCCAGTTGTACCTCCTGACAGTCAGCGATGCCTCCTCAAGATAAGTGTGCACCAGCAGAAGGGAGATTAGTGTAAGTTCTCTGGGAACAGCCAGATAATTTAGCACTTTGCAAGACTGTGGCTCCATATAACACCCCATTTGCAAAAAGGTTCCTTGCTACCTCAATATAGTGTGATTGTTCATGGGATCACTTCTACACAGCGTGGAGCTGGATTCACATCTCTGCCCCCATCCCAAAGGAAGGTATGTTCACTTGCTTTCTAAAGCTGTATGGTGATATAGACTTATCTGCAGTAAGACAACCACCATGCACATGCTCAGAGGCTACTCCAGGCCCTGGAGAAGGGTAGCTGGCAGGGCTGAGGGTGGGATTGATATATAGATGGAGAGATGGGGATGGACAGCCAGGAAATGGGAGGTGATACTGCAGGTCAGGGCTGAGTGGAGAATCCCAGAGTGGGAATGGTCAGGATTTTGATGGAGAGATAAGTCTCAAGCTACCCCTCCATGCCTAGAACAACTTTTTCCAGGTCCTTGAACATGAAATTCATCCCTCATACACTTGGAACTGTCAGGACCAAGTGTCTGGAGAAGAACAGAGCAGCTCTGTGTAAGAAAGAACCGGGAGGGGTTTTATTTGCGTAACAAAGCTGGAGCAACATGGAGCCCAATTTTGTCTGGAACTGTCTGGCATCTTTTGAGCTGGGGTATGCATGTGGATTTTGTCTCAAAAGCCCTGCCCTCCTGCAGGCTGGTGGGCAGCTGTGTATGGTAAAGTGACATCCCTGTTAATTATTTCTGTTAATTAATTAATTAACTGGGTAGCAGAGATGCAAGCATGGGGGCTTCAGCCAGCCCTGGTGGCTGACAAACTGATTTGTGCCCATAGATAACATGAAGACAGCTGGGGAGTCTGTGCTTGAGAGGTCAGCAGCTACAAAAGCCATCAGAGAACAGGCCACACAGGTCTCTGAAAGGTGTCTGAGGTTAATCTGGTACTTCTGCTGGTGGGAAGGGCCTGAACCCTTCTCCTCCAGTGTCCAAGAATTCAGAGCAACCTTCACTAGCTAAGCCCCACCCTGTGCTATTGTTTCCCATGCTGTGGCAGTGAAGAGTGCCAGCAGTGTCCTAAGGATACCACACACCACTGTGATGGGTCATCTAAGCTCTGACAGCTGTCTCCATGGCGGACCAACATACTAGTTAGAAACATGCACAAAAATGTTCTCCTGGGGATCCAGAGCCATGTGTGAGGCTTGAGTGACTGACCGTGTCATTGAAAACTGAGGACAAGTGAACACTTGCCCGTGTCTCCCAAAACTTCTGATGGAGATATGTGGCTGAGTTGCTGGAGCTGAACGGCTTAGTGGTACCCACTGGATTACAGCAAACATTGATGCATCCCTGCCTCGTCCCTTCCCTGAGCTTAGAGGAGTAAGCTCTCCTTGCATTTGATAGCAGGTAGGCGTGTGGACAAACAAGTCCAGCCAAATATTTTTGGAGCATCTCAGCTTCGTGTCCTGATGCCAGGGTTACCATCCTACAGCAAAGGGATGGACTGGGTGATGCATGTGTTTGTCACCTGTTGCACTTCATGGTACTGCTGAAGATGTTCTGGATCCTTGCTGGAGACTTTCTTACAAGGAATAGTTGTCTTTGTCACTAGGAAGGAATTTTGTCCTCTTTATGCCAAGATATAAAGGAACATTCCTTGTGCATTTCTACAAACTCACTGGGAACCAAGAGCGAACCACTGAGAAAGAAGAGTGTTTTGAAACAGGATCCAAGCCCACAGCACAGAACTGGATGCCAAAGCAACTGTGGAAGACCCAAACGGGCTGATCCAGCACAGCCTTCCATGGGAAGCCTCTCCTTCAGGCCCCAAAGACTGGGAGTCTCTTGTACTTTGAAGCTTAAGCGTTCGCAGCCCCTTTCAAAACATATTAATTCTGCCCCTTTCTGACTCAAAAGCTTACCAGTGGGTAAAAAAAAAAAAAGCCCTTGTGAATGTTGAAGACCTTGAATCTATAACCATTGCCCTGTGGGGTGAGCTGGGATGCCTGGTCCAAGGCACTTGTGTGTCTCAGCTTCCCCGGTCGATAAATGGGAATGATGATACGGGGAAGGGAAATCCTTCCCGCTCTGTGACACGAAGTGCTACGTAAGAGCATGACATTAATTATAGTTAAGCTCAGCATCTGTCAGCATCTGCAAAAACATCCAAGGACCTTTAAATCCCGCTCTCTTTCCACCTTCAACAGACTTTTGTATGAGGAATTTAGCAGGTTGTTTGTGTGAAAACTGAGCGAGAAACATCTTAAATGTCCAAGCCTCTGAAACAGCATGGGAGCTCCTAGGAAAGCTGACCCTGGTGAGGATTTTTGGACCAGTGCTGGTTCTGAATTAGCTCTGAGCTGACCTCTCTCTGTAAAAAAATGCTAAAATCCTCTAATAGCCCTCCTCGGAAAATAACCCCACAAAACTCCAAATGAAGCAAAATCATTATCTTTGAACCCAATGAATGTTTAGTTTCCTGACTCTTGGGTAAATATTAGATAGATTCCCAATTTCAACCTGAAGCAGTTTATTTGGCTGCTGTTCACAAGTCAGACACAGCAATAATCAAGGAAATCTCATTTGATTCAGGTTGGGTAATATGGCCTGAGGGGTAACATCATTTTCATTTCCACACATCCAGCACTGGCACAAAACGGCATGGACAGGTATGAAAAATGGATCATGGATCCTTGGTGCTAAAATTCCAGCTGATACTTTCATTTTTTTTGTGTAAATAATAATTACCAATAAAAATGTTGCTTGAAAAAAAGAGAATGTGAAAAGAAAAACACTGTTGCATTTGATAAAGCAAAATGTTTTGCAGTACTGCCAAAAGAAAAAAAAAAAAGAAAGAAAAAACAAAAGAGAGTTAAAACAAATGTAGCTGTTAAATAAAAGATCCAGGTACCAAAGAGCAAAATTTAATGAAAGCCAAAACTGTTAAATATGGATTCCTGTTGAGAAAAAATGTCAATGTCTTTAAGAGTTTTACCATTACTCTATTTTTAAGAAAAGTGTAGTAAAAATACATATTACAAGTTAACATGTTCCACGCTTTTGTCCTATTCTTTTTTTTTTTTTTTTTTTTTTTTTTTTTTTTTTTTTTAACCCCTCCACTGATCAAAAGCCTTTGAGACCTGCATCTCACATCTTCACGTCACAGGCGGCCAGTCCTAGCACAGATGCACTGCTTCTCATGAGACTGTCCAACTGCCCGGGCGGGCTCCCTGCGACCTGCTGCCACCTGGTCCTGTCTTTGGAGGAGGACGGGGCACCGATGGGTCTCGGCAGCCTGCTCCCACCGCAGCACCCGGTGGTGCACTGCTGTGGCAAGGTCCAGGATGCAGAAGAGCTGGGTCAGGAGATGCATCCGAGGGCTTTGGGCATGGATACAGGACAGCTTGTGGGATGCCTTCACTGTGCTAGCACTTACACGGAACTGAAGTTAAAATTAAGAAAAACAGATTAAAAATAATGAAAGCCAACACAAAGTGACCTGAAGAGGTGTTTGGAGTGGCTGATAACAGAGCTCATGTTCGGCGATGAGAAATGAAGATCACAAGGGTTTCCAATGGTAGGTAGAGGAAAATGTATTTGGCACAAAACATGCTGTGTCCGAGCTTAGGACCTTAACTCTGACTTGCTGGTCTCCAAAGTGTTGCATGACAAGTGGGTAAACGGAACAGATATTTCAGACCAGGCTGGTGTTAAAGGTGGTAAACGTATTGCTCTGCACATTCCTATGCTTATGGAAACTGGTATTCAGGCAGCTTCCAGCTGTACTTATGGACAGCTGCATAGACAGATCCTCCTTATAGACTTGTGCCAGTCATTTGCCTGCATTGTTTTCTCTTCACCTGCCTCCCTTCTTTTCCTGCTCTTCACTTGCTATGAAAAAAAAAAAAAAAAAAAAAAAAAAAAAAGAAAAGAAAAGAAGGAGAAAAAAGCAGCTCAGAACACTTCAGTAGCAGCTCAGTTCCCAGACAGGTATTTCCTGGGTCCCATGAGAAGCTTTGAACTTTATTTGCCATCAGTGATGGACCTGTGAGATGGGACAAGGCTAAGTGGGTTGGTTCCCTGTGGTTCCTGTCCCACAGATCTCCTCTCTCTCCAGATGCTCCCCTGGGAATCCTTCACTTCTGGGCAGGTGTCTCAGGCCCACCAGGGTGGAAAGCGTTTGTTTGTCCATGCCAGTGATTCACAGAACAAACCTTTTGTGCAGTTCTGGAAAACCATCCTTGCCCCTTCAACCTCCATGCCTGTGGCTGGACCTCCAGCTCCCTGTCTTGGCCGTGAGGGTTTCTGCAATTCCGAGTTTGGGGTCAGCAGCCTGCTCTCCTGACTTGTGGATTCTTCCCCCTCCCTAAGGATACATGAGTGGGAATCTGCTACTTTTGGCTTTGTACTCAGACAGGCCACAGCTTGAGGGGATGCTGTCGAATGTCACGGACATTTGAACGAAGCTGTTGTAGGGTCTCCTCCTCGGTTTGCTTCAACAGTTCTTTCCAGGAAGCCATTCTGGCCAGCTATCTACAAAATGTTCCTCTTAATTACAAAAGTGACCTTAAAGGTATTTCAGAGCAAAAAAGGCAGGGATATTCCCATTGCAGCCCCATGACTTCTAACATGTTTTACTGGTTAATAGGCAGTCATCTAGAACTGGATGTCTTGAGATGGTCTGTTCCTGGCTCAGGGTGATTCCCTTATGTGACCACCAAAAAGGGAGCACACACAGAAGCTAAGCAATGAAGAAATGGTTCACAATTGCTTATTAGCCCCCAATAACCTAGGCAGGAGTCGCACGTTAGGGGAATGCGGCATTTACTTTCTCTCTTCCATAAACAGCAGCCAACCATGATCTTAGACCAATCATCTGCTCTAGTCTGCCACGCGTGACGCTCTGCACTCCAGGCACAGGATTCTTCTCTTGAACCGGCACTCATCAACTCTGGAAGAATTATCACTTTGTCCTCATGTTACCTGGGGTTTCCAAACTCACTCGTGACTTTGCCCCTGTAAAAGAGCCTTGTGGTTTTTGTTCAGGTTCTTTCTCACATCTAGTCCTTCCTGGTGCAGGGAGAGAGCCATTCGCAGCTCTGTCTGCCTCGTTGCAATAACTCCACAGCCAGAGTTCACAACAGAACAACGGAAGGCAGAATCACGATGGACAAAAGGGAACAATGCTGACGCCCTGCAGGGAGTTCAACTTGCCATTTATTGGGTTTTCTTTTTTGCTGTCAGTAGCTCAGACATTATGGTTTGCATCCCAAACTAAACCAGATTGAAGGACTGAGCAGGGAAGGGGGAAAGGGCTGATGTTACCCTGACACCACAGGAATTAGTAAGAAAAAATATATATATTGCACACACTAAGACTTATTAACAACCAAGTTAAAACAAAATGGCATAGTCCTCATTAGTGTTCCAGTGGTTCTTTGATCAGGGATGGTTCACGAGTCTGTTAAATCCCATTAGACTCTCCTTATTGCAGTACAGACCTGTTTCTGTTCTCCTGCCAGTGGATCTGTTTGCAAATAAAAAGGGAAATAGATCTGATTTCCTCGAGAAGATCCATCCAATTGTCCCTTCTGTCATCATCGTTTGTCTTGTTGGTGTTGGGTTTGTTTTTGGCTCTGGAGGGGGTGGAGTTGGGCTGCCCCTGCTCTCACCCAGGCAATGGGTCAAAAGGCCAATTATAATCCCGTAGCTCCCAGGGACATGCCGGTGCTGTGGCTCATGCACGGGATCGTCTGCATGGATTTGGGGAAATCGTGGCTGACCACACGTCCGTTTTCTCCACTACCTCCTGCTGCAGCCGGCCTGGGAAGGGTTGATGTCCGTATGGCTTCGTTGATTGATTGCTGTGGGATTAAACAAAAACCCTTTTTAGGAAGGACGGGGGGGTCTCCCCCTGTCCTTAGCAATGTTGGAGGAATTACAATATAAACCATTGTTGTCATTCTGACACTGTTCTCTCCCTCCTTGCCTCCATTCAGACTCTCACTTTCTGCATGCCCCTACTGCATCTGCTCTGTTAATTCGCACCTCTTCTACATTCAAAATTAAATGTTTCAGCAGTATTTTGGGGTATAAAGCATACGTGCTATATGCAAAAACTATTCAAACTCTACAACATAAGAACAGTCATCCTGGATCTGAGCAGAGGTATTATAAACACTTCCCCCATAGATATGCTATTACTACTCCAGTACTGTTATGTATGGTGGACTCTGACTCACTGCAAGCATATGTTTAACTTTCCTCATGTGAGAAGCTGAGCGTGTGCCTATGTTTTTGTCTACAGCGATGAATGAGGTAACCAGGAAATGCAAACCTAATTCAGGGAACCAAATCTCATCTTCCTGTTCCAAAACATTTGCTTTCAGAGATCTAAAGAAACCACAGGTTTAGAACAATTAAACTAAAAGATGAAGTCAGCTTGGTTTCTTGGCGTTTAAGCTGTCTCTAAGGGCACCATCATCCTTTCTGGACTGGGATATTCAGGTGAAGAATTATCGGAACAGATAAATCTGGAATACTCAGAAACAGTCAACTTTGTGCCTTGCCAGGCATGGAGCAGCCTCCTGTGCTGGTGGGATCTACAGCTCGCCCAGGGGTCTGGGGTTTAGAGGGGTAGGTTGGGTTTAGAGGGGGATCCAGGACGTCTTTCTGGGCACTTGCCTGGGCTCTGCTGAATGGCTTTGCGGGGCAGCCACTGACAGTGGGAGCCAGCCAACGGGACAAGTTTAGACCAGATGTTAACACGGGGAGCAGCGATTCCTTTCCACAGCGGCCGGTTTTAACATGACAAGAGCACGGCAAGCTAACACTGACATGAATTAGTGGGCCATTTCAAGCAACACAGGGCAGTCAACAGCAGGGCAGGATCTCTTTAAGACTAAAACTATGGAGCTATTGCATTCTGACACGCTTTCACAGTGTATCTGTGATATAACTAGCTTTACAGTGTAGACAGCAATTATAATTTAATTTTTGTATATTCAGGGACATTAATTGCTCCCATTGTCTTACCCCTGTGCTCAATGTACCTCTCATTGCCTGTAGAATTTTCTGAACCTCAATGGGAAAAGAGCTGTTGCGCATTTTCAGTGAATTAGAAATGTTATTATTGCTGATAAAACATTAAGCGTGTTTTGAAATGGTGACATAAACCCCAAAGAAATGATTGCTTATTTCCCTTTTGATTCTGGGTTTCAATGCTCAGGGAATTGAAAATGTCTCTAAATTTTATGAAACTCACTGCATACTTCATACGCTCATACTGACTCCTGTGCTTATAGGAGAGGTCACGATGAGGAAGGAAAGTGATGTGTTACTCTTGCAGCACAGATCCCACTGCACCCTTGTACACAATGGGATCTCTATAAGGGATCGCCTCTGCTAGTCATCTGAGTCAACAGAGGCTGCATTAGATGTGTATCCCCAAGGCTCTCAAATCTATTTCATTCTTGACATGACACTCTGAAATTTAGGCACACCAGAATTTAGGGCTGAAACAAATTCCCTGAGCCACATGAAGTATGCTTCTGCAAGACCATGACAGGGTGGAGGAAAAAAAAAAAATTACAGCAGACATTAGAGGCCAATTCCTCTCTAAGAAGACCCATAATTCTGAGTTTGGAGACCCACATCATCCGTTCCAGGGCAACAGTGCTCTGAGCATACATCACTGTTGCCAACCTGCAAATGGTGCCAGCAGGGTGCCAGCAAAGGGAACAACAGGATCTGATTCATTACTGCGCTACCCCAGCTTTATCTTGCTGTTAACTGTTTGTGTTTGGGGATTTTTTATATTGCAGTAACAGCTGTATCACCACAACCCCAGCGCACTTCATCCATGCTGCACATGCATTGCCATAGTCTGCTTTCATCCATTTTAAGGAATGGCAATGTGCTCCTGTTACCATTTGTGCTATGATTTTGCTCTCTATCTGGATTTTGAACTAGCACTTTGCTACATGTCTGATCTTGCATCAGCTCCCCACTAAAGCCGAATTGACCCTCTTTCAGCTTCCTCTGATGATCCCATTCCTTTCTAGCAAGTTGAGTGACACGGTCACATCGTTATCCCTATGTCTTGGCTTTCCACCCATGGTCTGGGCTGCATCCGTCTCTGAAGGCAGCTTTGGAGCCGGGGTAGGATCAGAGAGAAGGTGTGAAAAGCCGGGGAATGGGTTGCCACCTTCATCCGCTTTGATTCACTTCTGGACTTGTAACAAAACTCGATTAAGGCAACCAGCATGGCTAGTCCGAGCCCACCGATGAGGATATAGAAAACCCCCGCCACATTGCTGAGACTCAGAGCACTCGTCTTGTCCTAGAAGAGAAAGGAGAAGGGAGGGAGGGGAGGGCATGTGGGAAGGAGAACAACAAAATTAATATGAGATTGCTCTGGGAGGGATGCTGCACAATATAGCAATGTTGGCATTATATCATCTTCCTCTTTAAATGAACAGGTGACATTTCTAAGAGCATTTTCAATTTTTAATTCTGTGTCTAGTAAATCTAATGTTTCCCTCATACAAACAAATAACAGTTTCAACAATGTGACTCTTTGTAAAGGTTTGGGATCTCCGCTTTTCAGTCAGTTAACTTAAAAGCTTATTTTACACAAAATGCCTGGTTTAAATTATTGATTAAAGGAGGAAAAAAAATAAATTCTCTGCCTCTGTGACATTTGCTTGTCTCTGATGTCTCGCCTGAAATAACCTGTTCTCTTGGAAATGCTCATTCCTTCATTCCTAGATTGTTTCCCCCGCAAATTCTGTTGCTGAGCAACACATCGAAATGGCTGGGTTTCTTTCTTTTTTCTTTTTTTTTTTCCCTATTCAGTGCTGAGGTTGAGGTGACACCTGAGCTGTCCTCAGAAACTCATTTGATTTCTGTGTAATAAGGCAGTTATTTCATATGCAATCAAGATCCATTGATGCATGTCTAAGCTAATTATTTGGTTGGCAATAAATAGGGCTATTAATGGACCACAACTCACAGTCAGCAGCCTCATTCTGATTTTACAATTGCCTAATGAATCGTCACAGCTCTCTGGGGAAGAGGCAAGTCTCAGAAAGACTCATTTCACTGTTAGGGAAACGCGTCCCCACATCTAACCCCGATGTCACTCAGCGAAGCTCTCAAAACCTTCTCCTCCATGCTGGCCAGGTGGAGCTGGGGTGTTAGCATAATCTGGGCAGAAGCAGGACCTAAAAGCTTGGCTCAACTCTGTGTATGAGGGTCCTGTTTCTAGGACATGCTTTCTCTATAGTTCAACCAGACCAAGGTCCCCTGCTCCGTGCTTGTCATTGCCCTGCAATATTGACTTGGTACCTATTTGGTGGTACAGATTCCCCAGGGCAAGCCCAACAGGTCAGTGCAAATCCGTTGGAGTGACCAAGGTCTGACCAGCACTGACAGCCCTGCTCCCTGGATGTGGGAGGAAAATTGCATATCTGAGATGCAGTCACTTAGTTAAAGAATAATATTTATGCCTGTAGAAGTCTATGCAGTTGTAACAAAGCCTCTGCATGGCTCTTGGTGTTTCCTGCTACTCCATGGACATGTGGACCGGTGGGTGGCACAGCTTGTTCCTTGCCCATGTAGGACCATTGATTCATTTGCTTTGCTTGGCAGGTTTTACAATAAGCAACCCACACTTTTCAGGAAGGGCAAGGATTCAGGAAGCAGAAACCTATACTGGAGCAATGCCGAAAGGGTCCAAAACTGAACACCAACATGAGCACAAAAGGTTTTGATCCAAGAGCAGTCTGTCTGACACCAGCACTGTCTTTCAGGCAAGTACGTTTTGCAAAAGGATTCTGCCTTTTGCTGTATTAGGGTTTGATGGCAAAAAATGTTCATCCACAAAGCATGAAAACATCTCAATTTTCAAAACTAAAAAAACTTCACGAAACAGAAAGGAACTTTTTTTTTTTTTTTTTAAATAATAAAAGTGTTCCAGTCAATAATGCTAAAAAAAAGTTTTTCTACTTTTCTTTTATCTGGCTCCACTGTCCATGTGAGATGCCAAGCTTCTGCCCAGTTGGAGCTCTCGTCACAGGCTCCAGTGTCATGGGGAGAAACTTTCCACCCTGAACCCTCTGTAGAAAGATACTGAGGTCTGGTTAGGGACCACCCCTGCAGAGTTTTGGTCGCTGGAAAAAACTCCACAAGTGATCTCATTTTCCATGCTTCGCTGATTGACAGTGCTGCCAAGAGATTTGCCGCTGCCACCATGTGCGTTGCACCGTTTCAGACGTGATGGTTGCTGCTGGTTTGGTTCCTCCCTTGTATAACCTTAATACGCTGGTCAGTCTGTAATCCTGCCAATGCTGCCTGTGTGCTATCTGTAATGTGATATTTCTGCAAATATCATCTTAATTTCTGCAGTTTCAATATTTGAAGGATTATTTATCTAGTCTTTTATAATCTGCCTTCATGAATTTTTTTTCCCCAGGCTTGACAGTACATTTGTTCAGTCATCTCTTCTCTGCAGATTACTGGGTATACTTTTAAGCACCAGCTGAAAAATGTAGGGAGTTTTTTAGTGAAGATTTAGAAAAGCAGAGCAATTACTCTGAGAAAACTGGGTTACAACACATCAGGTACTTTGCCTCTTCAAATTCAGTCTGAAGGGGCTGCACCAGCTTCAGAGAGGGACAAAGACACTAGAGGTGGGCTGCCCTCCTTGACATCCTAATCTTTTAGCCTGGCTCCTTAATGAAAAGTGGCTGATTAGCACATGCTCTGCTTTCAGAGGGAAGGATGGGGACAGGGAAGGAGGAGCAGCCTATCTGTCTGTCTTATTAATAATTTTCAGCCCATACTTTCACTTTGATTTGACAAAAGGGTGGAGATCTCCAAGATATCAGGAACCTCCAGCCTCTGTGAAAAAGAATGACACTGTAGAGAAGAGAAAACCTATTAATGCTCTCACTTAAATAAATGTATCAGCAAAATTCATACTAGGCATCAGAGACTCTACATGGGTGTTTGACTTGCAGCCACAGATCCTTAGGAAACCTGGCTTCCTTGACTCTGTCAGGCATGGGAACACACAGATTTCAAGCTTTATTGGGCCATGGTATTCTTGTATTTCCAGCCCCATTTTGGGCAGTATGGTCCGACACGGCATCTTCTCAACTGGCTGCAATGGCAGAGTGGTCTGGCAGCCAGGAAAGGCCGCTGGTTCTTAATTTCCACTTTCCTCCTGATGCCAGCAGCAAACTGACCAGTAAGGGAGAGTAGATGACCTGCACCACTATTTCATACAATTAATTTCAGAGCTGCTGTATTTTTCTTGCATTTACTTTGCAGTAACTTTATTATTATTATTGTTATTATTATTATTATTATTATTACTATTATTACTGTTGTTACTACTATTATTTGGATAATTTGGGTGAACTGAAAGCTGTCTTAGCCAGAAGGCAAAGGAAAGCAGAGTGAGGCAGAGCAGTGGTCAAACCTGCTGGGAGGGAGAGAGCAGCCTGAGTTTCACATCTGTCACCATAACAAGATTTCTCCCAAGGAGCCAAAGACCTGGGCAGCTTCAGTGGGGCCCTGAGGAGCTCCGAGCTGTGGGGGCATAGCTGATGACACAGCCTGCTGTCATGAGCCAGGCTGAGTAGTGAAATTGCTCCTGTGGTGTCGCTTGACTTCTTGATCATCATCTCCTTTTCCTTTTTGTTTCCTTCTCTCCCCCAGCAGGACATGCAGAGAAGTTCTCTGGGCAGGAGTGGCATCTCATTGCTCTCACTGAATGCAGGACCAGACCCACATGAAGGGTAGGAAATGCTGCACGCCTCACCGTGGCTTTGCACGCTGTTTCTGTGCACGCTCTTGCCCTAATAATGCTCATAATAATAAAAAGTCCCAAATTATGCTAACTGCTTGAGAGGACCCTCCCCTCCTCTCTGCTCGGGCTCTGTGACACCAGATGCTCTTCTGCAGAGCTGCCCATCACTGAACCAGCTTGTTAGTGGGAGTGTAAATGTCACTGCTCGTCTCCCGCAGCGGCAGAGCGCTGACGTGGGGGGAAGATTGGCAGGTGAAAAGAGAAAGAAAAACCCATTTTTCCGAAAGCCCGGCCTTGTTGCTGCAGCAACCAGGCACCTTCCCGTCTGTTCCTCTCAAACGTGGCACCGTGTCCACCATCCGCTTTGTAATTATTTATACTCCTTGGCTGAAAAGCATTAAGGCCAAATTTGCCCAGTTTCCCAGCAGGGCTGGTCCTTTCTTTTACTCTGCATGATTAGAGCCCAATGGCACCATAGGGTGATGGCACGTTGAGTTGTTGCAGTCTTCATAGAAGATGAACGGCTCCAGAAGTTGAGCTTCTACACCAAGTGCTGATCTGACTCTGTTGGGGCAAGGCCTGAAGCTCAGCAATGAAAGACACCGCACTGGCCACTGCCTCTGAGCGCTCCTGTGGATCTGCCAGGGGATGGGTACGAGCACAGGCTGGCTGGCTGTAGGGTTAAGGCTGCTCAGCATGACAAGACTCCTTTGGTTTGAGAACCAGCCAATTCCCTGCAAAGGCAGGGCAAGGCGGTAGCAGGTTTTGTTCCCTATTTTTTTTTTTTAAACAAAAGCGCAATTCTTGCAACCGGAGAAGATTGGGATATCCTTGTAGCTTTGATGAGGGTCCTTTAATTGCATGAAGTGATCTGGTTTCCCCTGCAAGCAGGCTGCACCTTTCCATTCTGCTCTGGGAAAAAACTTCATTTCTCCCATCGTCTTGCAAAAGCCCCAGTAAAGAGGAAAATCACATCCATCTGCCCTGACATTTAGTGTCCACCTTATCATTACCCTCCAACAACCCAAGGCATTCCTTTCAAGCCCACAGCACATTTCATAGCCTGCAAAAACACTTGTCTATTCAGTGCTTGTTTGTAAAAATGGGGTCCTTCTAGGGAACCGCCTATTTACAGAGTGTCTGCCTCTCTTCTGGGCTTATTTCTGCTGTGGCGAGTAGAGGGGGAGTGCAGGAAGGCTGAGGGACAGGACCAGGAATTGGTGGATGGCTTCTAGCTATGTGAAGTACTGGAGGTGTGTGTGCATGGAGAAACCTTGACCCTGTGGGAAGGAGTGCCTGCCATGGGTTTCCTGTGGGGAGAAGAGCAGCAAGGACATTGCTGCCCAGTGCAGGGCACTGCCCAGGATTTGCCCCGGTCTGGCAATGTGGCTGGGGCTGTGGTGGTCCTGGATGAACAGCCCCTGAGTGCAGCCACCCAGCACCTCCTGGGATGGCATAACATATCCAAATATTCAGCAAAGCAGGAGCGTTTGCCTCTGGAGTTTTATTTCAGATCCACTAATGTATCTACTGTTTCTTTATAAGGATTTCTCTGGATAAAAAACTAGATGGGGAATAGATAGGTAAACAGTCAGATTAAAAATAGGATGCACAGAAGCTAGCTACAGGCATGGAACATCATCTGGGGCCGATGAACGTAAGCCTGGGAAACACCAGAGGTTTCACTTAGCTCTGGCTAGAGACCTTGGATACAAACCTTACATCCAGCCAGCCCCTCACCCCTCCTCACTAGCATTCATTCATCCCGAAAGTCCTCTAACTGTTAACTAAGTTAAGCTCAACAACAGGACAGAAACGGGAAGGTTTTGTCACACCTGTGGGAGGAAAGATATGAAATGGCCTCCAAACTTTCAAGCTTTGCTCTGAACCTTGGCTGTGCGAGGAGAGGTGCATGGTCTGGCTTGTGTCCCCAAAGTGCAGGTGGGTTTTGTGTCCACCGTGGGCAGGATGGGGGAAGCTGTGTCTGGTGCTCAGCCCTGCCTGGCCTGCCTCGTCCCTGGCACCAAGGGCACCAGGGGGAAAGGGGGAGGAACTGCTCATGCAGCAGCTGGGCAGCTCAGCTTTTTTTTGGTGCTGGATGCAAAAGAGCCCAAGAAACAAAAATGGATAAAACCCAGGTGGTCAACAGGTGGGTACATTTGCCTGACTGCCTTCATGACAAGTGAGCAATGCCATTGCTGGGTCTTTCTGTAGTGGGAGAAGGGGGTCTGGTGATGTGAATGTTGATTTCTCTTACTGTCGTTTCATACTGCACTGCTGTTGCAGACGTGGTGTGGACGCTGAGCAAGGAACAGAGATGCAACAGCTGAGATCTTCACTGCGATCTTCTACTCCTGTTAAAAGCTTACATGGTTTTAAGGCTTGTGCCTACTAATTTCACACATGGAGTTTCAAGCAGCTCTCATGACTTTAGGATCCAATTTCATTTATTCACATGTGATTCACATGTGTGTGATTGTGTTTTTCAAGCACATGTAAATAACATGTGATCAATGTAGAGGTCATACGATCCACATAAACCCATGTGTCCCAAACCTTCTGTGTCTGTCCTTACTGGTTATCCTATTGTGTGGAATGATTTTTTTTTTTTTTTTTTTTATTCCCCAGCAGAATAGTGATAAAGCACAGTATTGTAGGGGTTTTGTTTTAAACTAAACTGATTTCACATCCATTTCCTTATGGGCATTTTATCGCCTATGGGGTTTCTCTAGCACTGACGCATGCAGGCTTGTGGTGAAGGTATTGTGGAAGCTGTGTCATGGCTTCAGTTTCCCAGCAGAAGTAATTACTTTTCATTCATATGGTGACTATTGCTCAGTTGGTTACCTTGCAAAATATATGCACTATACAAGTCAATTAGATTTTTGCATGAGTGGGACCAATGCCACATTTTATAGCACGCCTTATAGAAAGGTTATTCTTGGATATGTACAATGCTGCAGAGAAGAGCAGAACATGATTTTAAATAGCATCTGTCAGCCCCAGAATGCTTTACAATGCGATAAAGCAGTTGGTGAGTTTCAGACAATTAGGCCAGGTGAAAAAAATATGACAACGTACCAAAAGCTGTTTGTAGAAATTTTTCCCTTCCTTATGAAATTTGAATATATTTAATACTTTAAAATCCAACCTGATTCATCTGGCTCTGGAAGTGCTTTGAACATAGAAAGGAAAAAAGAAAATGACATTCTCTTTTCCAGTTTTCAGCTGGGGAATA